TATGCATGCATGATCTGCATCTGGTATCTCTCATATTACTGTGCTTATAGTCTATCCTATATGATTTCTTCCTTTGTCTGTCATAGGAATTCTCTCTGGCAGCCTTGGCTGGTGAAAAATGTCACTGTGGCTTTCCTACTCCTCTCTTCACCCTGCATGACCATGAGGATGAGGAGCTGTGTCTCCAGCGCTGTGCAGGAGAAGACTTCGAGAGCTGTGGAAACAATGACTTCTTTGTAGTGTACCAGACCCAAGTGCAAGGTAACATTAGCTTGTTTGGACCAAAACAATGTGCTCAGGCCAATGCACAGGCAGCCCACATGCACAATATTTTTCCTTCTTTAGGACAACAAACATGTCAGGTCACTATGGAAGCACGAAATATAGCCCAGGTTGTGCTGCTTAAGCACATTCAGTCTTCACAGTGTTTCAAATGTGTGATGAGCTCTATGTGAGCTCTTGTGGCTGCTTATCATGGTCGACCCTCACGTTTGCTAAATTCATACTTCCTCTACACTTCCTCCGAGTTTGCTGTCAAAGTAAGTAAACAGTTTGCTTTTTTTTGCTTTGGTTTCAACAGTGGTCAAAGGTGATGGCTTCAACCAAAGAATATTTGGCACTAAATTGATAGAATATATCATGCATTTACAGATATCTGCAGATATAAAATATAGATGACCGTTTCAGGACCCTTATAAAAAATATTTTGGGTTAAGCATTTGGTGCCTAATGATTATTGCAAAAAAAAAAAAAGACAACATTTTGTCTTAGAATTCTGTCTTGACTAACATTATCTGTGTAAATTAATGAACACAAAGTCACAAGGGCAACAAAGATTTACAGCTTTAACACACATCATCTCATTTCCTCTTCAGTCTGATAGTCATCCATTCTGTGGTGCAAATTATGAATGGTCATGTACTGCTTCAAACCGAATTTGAAATCTAAGAAAGACAACATTTGAAAAGACTGAATCAGATTGTTTTCAAGAGCAGTTTCTAAAATCAACTTGTCTCACGTCATCAAAATAGCAGCATATGTTCATGGTGATATGTGCATCATAAGCCTTCCCTCTGTTTATCACACCGCTCAAACCTGATTGAGACATTTTACCTGTCTTTTAAGGAATGCAGAGATTCTGTGATTTGAAGACTTATTTTTGCATATTGTAACGGTCACTTAGAGCAGTTATTGTAATTTGTGGAAGAATGACAACTGCGCATGTGCATACAATGTGTGCCTGTAAGACAGAAGGTGAGCAGGAGAAAAGATAACCACTCTGCAGACTTTAGTTTCTCTTCCATTTATTTTCCATCTTTCTGTTCGTGACCTAAGTTGAATGTTTATTTGTATACTTTTACTCACTCAAACCCCTTTGTATGTGGATGAGTGGGACGACGCTTAAGTCAATTTAATAAACCTGGGGGAAATACGCCAGCTCTTGTGTCTCGTGCATCTTTTCCTTTGACGGCACACATTTGATTTCTCTCTCTGGGCAATTGAACATTTCTACTCTGCGGTTACAGAATGTCAGCTTTGAGGTCAGAAGTATATATGCTAATATACTTGCTTCTCAATCAGTTTCATGGAAACTTTAATGAAACTTAAGGATTTTTTTCACCTCAGTATCTTATGTTTGGTCTGATATGTGTTCTTCATCTCTACAGATAATCGTTGTTTGGACCGGCGCTTTTTGCCCTCTCGATCCAAGCACTCAGTGGCACTAGCTAGTTTCCCAGGCGCAGGGAATACATGGGCCCGTCACCTTATTGAACTGGCTACGGGTTACTACTCTGGGAGCTACTACTTTGATGGCTCACTGTACAACAAAGGTTAACTTAACTTTTTGTTCTCCATAAGGCCATCTTTTTCATCTCTTGCTTGCTGATGGTCTTCCTCTCTCTTTGATTTCTCTGCATGTGCAGGTTTTAAAGGGGAGAGAGATCCCTGGCGCAGTGGTAGAACCATATGTATCAAGACCCATGAGAGCGGCAGGAAGGAGATTGAGGCCTTTGACGCCAGCATTCTCATGATCCGGAACCCTTATAAAGCCCTCATGGCAGAATTTAACCGAAAGTATGGTGGCCATATTGGATTTGCCTCTCAAGCTCATTGGCGGGGGAAAGGTGAGAGATGAAAGCTTGTTCTAAAGCCTTGTGATTACTCTACTTAGTGCGCAATACATACAGCAGTACTTGCATAAAGCACATAAGAAATGTGCATGTTATTGCCTCTGTTAAAGAAATAGTTTAGCCAAAAATGAAAGTTTACTGAAAATGTACTCACCCTCAGGCCATCCAAGATGTAGATAAGTTTTTCTTCATCAGAACAGATTTGGAGAAATGTAGCATTATATCACTTGCTCACCAATGGATTCTCTGCAGTGAATGGGTGCCGTCAGAATGAGAGTTCCAGCGATACCGTTGACTTGATTGCAAAGATACTATTTAAACTGAGCTGGATGTTGACATCACTGAATTCAATGATGAACTGTCTTTAACTGAAAAATTAGTGTTTACTATTGTCATTTTGCATTATTGACACACTATTTTCCTAATTAATGCTGTTCAGTTGCTTTGACACAATCTGTATTGTTAAAAGCGCTATATAAATAAAGGTGACTTGACTTGACTTGACTAGTCTACCAATTAATGTCTTGTGATGTGAAAAGCTGCGTCTTTGTAAGAAACAAATCTATCATTAAGGTGTATTAGGTTTAAATCATCTCTTCTGGCCAAAATTCATAATAATGCATAATAATTCATTATAATGATAAATTATATAACTTAATAATAATAAAAATAAGTCATAATAATGCATAATAATAATAATAATGTCCCTGTTGTCCTCTCACATCCAAATCCACTGACATATTCTATAAAACTGTTTTGGACTGTTTTCACTTGTAAACAGTGCTTGATCTGTGCATATTTTTCTCCTGATTCAGATGAGATGACTTTTCACTGGAGAAAGCAATATTATGCATAGAGGAATATTTTAGCTGGAAACAATGGTTTGACGTTAAAAACGTCTTAATGTATTTGTTTATTACAAACACGCAGCTTTTCCCTTCACTGGAGTCGTGTGGATTACTTGTGGGTTATTGTGATCCACTGTTTGGACTCTCATTCTGACGGCACCCATTCACTGCAGAGGATCCATTGGTGAGCATGTGATGTGATGCTAAATTTCTGTAAATCTATTCCGATGAAGAAAGAAATTCGTCAACACCTTGAATGGCCTGAGAGTAAGTACATTTTCAGCAAATTTTCATTTTTGGGCAAACTATTCCTTTAACTTTCTTTTCTACTGCTGCTATACTGATATTTTTTCCCTATTACAATTCGTCCAGCTCCTCTTTCATATACACACTCTGGTTTTACATTATTTGACATTATTTTTTTGTCTTCACTCACCTCATCACAATATTATCTGTATCTAAGGCCAGTTTGGTAGGCTAACAGCCCAGTGTTTATAATCAGGCTAAATGTTTAAAAGAACTTCTGTTTTGTTCTTGATGTTGTCATTAGTCTGAGGGTTAAACTTAGTTGCTGTACTGCAGTCAAGAGTACGGTGACGCATTGCTGCCACACACATATTTTTTTTTTCCACTCAGTTATGTCGTTTTAATGACATCTTTTCTCGTTAAAACGACATCTTTTCTC